TAACTATTTGTGTCTAGAACTTCACCCCAAAATGGTGCAACTTGATTATTAATTGGACACAATTGTGTTACAGGCTTTCAGTGTTGACTGTGAGCAGGTTGGGCAATCTTAGGTATGTCTCTCCCTCCGTACTCACCTGCCACAACTTGGATGAAGAAGAAAAGGAAGTGAATCAGTGTCCTTTTGATGTTCAAGATTAATAACTGCCACCCGGATGTTACATGCTCAAAGGGTTTAGTTTATTTTCTGTACTTTCACAGGAGTTACTGCATCAGTCGCCTCACCAATTACTTTATTGGTGAGGAGCACCTGGGTTATAGATAAGAATTTTTAACACACAGTCACTTGGATACTTTAACCACTCATTGCCGCTAATTACTTCATTAGCAGTATGTGCTTGCCATGCCTCTTTATTCTTTATAAGCGTCTTGTGCCAGGAGCAGCCCTGGCTGCTCCCCCGTCGTCTGTGCCAACACTTATGGCACTGAAACAGTCTCGACAAGCTCAGGGTTTGGTACTAGTTTCCTCTGCTGGTGTCTCGCCCTGAGACATCCTCTTCACTCAGGAATCCCTCTGCCAAGCCGTGTCGCAGAGCCTTGGCTCTTCTCTGGACTCACCGAAACAGCTGAAATCCACAGCTAAGAGACTAGTCTCGCGTCTGACCTGCCGTCCTCCAGAGTCCCTCGGTCTCGGCATCCTCTTGGGTCACAGGTCCAGCCACTCGTGTCCTCTCCTCTGGGGTCTTGATCACCCTCCGTCCATTCTTGAGTGCCCAAAGGCAACAAGTCTTTTCCTGCTGCCAGCTTTTATGGCAGTTTTGGCGGGCTAATCACCCTATCCTTTCTCGAATGTGTAAGTCCCTCCACCTGGCAGGATTCATTCTCAGGTCAACCCTGCCCAATTTTACCTAAGTAACAGGGCTCCTGTCTGAGCCCCCGTTACATTGAGCCTGAGAGCTATAATACACTTAACTACTAAAAACATCTCAACTATACAAAATGGGATACAGAGAAGCAAGGAACTAGATCAGTGCTTCTCAAAGTGGTGGTCCGCAGACCAGCAGCCACCCGTCGCCGGTCCACAGTGAGTTGCCAGGAAAGAAAGAAATACATTTTCAGAAGCATAACACTGATATGTCGTGGCGCCACAGTTCGTACGTTCCAACACTCCAGGTGACGTCACGTCATGCAAGGTGAGGAAAGAGAAAGAAACAGCCAGTCGTGCATTTGCGTAGAGCTGTTACACGCAGTTGCTGCCACCGGCTAAACCGGGCACCGGTCCCTGGTCCACTGGAAAAAAATTTGCCGGTCCGCCACATCAGATAGATTGAGAAGCACTGAACTAGATGACAGAGGAAAAAGTGGTGTCCTCCCAACTACTGGCAAAATATTTTAAGCAAAGATCATCTGTCATACAAACAGAGTTAACATAAGGCATATTTATAGACTGTAAGGCTGGAAGGGACCTCAGAAGATCACTAGGTCCAGCCCCCTGCACCAGGCAGGAAAGACAACTGGGAGTCAGGTGACCCCAGCAAGGTGCCCGTCCAGTCTCCTCTTGAAGATTTCCAAGGTAGGTGATTACACCACCTCTGGAGGGAGCTTATTCCACAGTTGTGAAACAGTTTTTCTTAATGTTGATACTGAAACAGTATTCCAGGAGTTTTTGACCAACACTCCTAGTTTTTCCCAAGGGTGACCTGGTGAACAGTTGTTCACTGAGCCCTTGAGAGATGCTTCTGATGTAGTGGTAAGCTGCTACCAAGTCCCCTCTCAGCCTTCTAGAGTCCCAGATCCCTCAGCCTTTCCTCGTACGGCTTGCCACGCAAGTCTCTGATCATACGGGTGGCCCTTCTCTGGACTCCATCAAGCTTTACCACATCCTTGTTAAAGCATGGCACCCAGAACTGGACATAATACTCTTGCTGCAGTCTCACCAATGCAGAGTAGACTGGGAGAATCACTTCTTTGGTTTTGCTGGAGATGAATCAATTGATGCATGCCAGGGTATTGTTGGCCCTGCTGGCTACAGCATTGCACTGCCGGCTCATGCTCATACTGTGGTCAGTTTTTACCTCCAGATCCCTTTGATTTGTAGTGCAGGTGAGGTTGGCGTTGCCAAGCCTGTAGGTGTGTAGGGGATTGTTCATTCCCAGGTGGGAGCACTTTATATTTCTTGACATTGAACTTCATCTGGTTCCAGTCTGCCCAACTTGCTACCCTGTCTAGGTCCACCTGTATCTGCAACCCATCTTCAAGCATGACCATGCTTCCCCATAACTTGGTGTCGTCCATGAACTTGGCCAGTGAGCTCTTCACTCTCGCATAAAATCATTAATGAATATGTTGAATAGCACTGGACCAAGCACCACCCCCTGCGGGACACCACTGGCCTCTTCCTGACAAGATGACACAGATCCGTTCATTAGAACCCTCTGGGTCCTGCCCCACAGCCAGTTTCCTACCCACCTGTCTTACAGTTAGCCCACAGTCTTCCAACTTTCTCACAAGAACATCATGGGATACCAGATCGAAAGCTTTTTGCAAGTTGAGGTATATACAATCAACATCCTTGCTCTTAGCCAGGTGGCAAGTCACCTGATCGATATGAATCCTGAACGATCAGTTTAGGGTGATTGAGTATTCAGTGCAAGATAACAGTAGTGGTTTTATACAGATCTGACTGCAAAGAGAACTTATTAGATAATACAATCCATCTCTTTACTCCATACATCAGGAAGCAGAGGAGCAATTTAACACATGGACTGATTGTAAAGAGTATTTGGTTTTTGTTTTTCTCATCACCCTGACATGTAAATTATGAATACATGAAAGCCATGAAACTCAAGGAAATGCAACTAGGTTCTGTCCCCCAACACTTACCTTTACCCCCAACCCTACCTTTCTATAATTCCTTAAAGGCAAATATCACAGTTCAATCGATGACCTGGTTTATACATGAAGCTACACTGATTTAACTGAAGCTGTTATTTTAAACTAAGTTAAAATGGTACAACTTGTGTTGTACCCTAACCCTAGTTTACAAAAAAAAAAACTGTTCTTACTGATAGGCTAGTCACATTATGGAGAAACCTGCTGTCTTATCAGCATCTTGTTCAAAAAGTATGCTTCAAGCAGGATGGCAGGCTTGGGGGACTGTATTAATCTGAAGATAAACACAGCTGTTAAGTGTATGCTCTTTTGACTTAGGGCCTGACTTGCATATAAAAATCCCAAATGAATATATGGATTTTTTTGTTTTATACATCAGACATCTTGGGAAGATGGAAGGCAAGGTCTTTCCAATTAAGCTTTACTATACAGCTCCAGAATTGCTCGCTGTCTTAGATACAAGAGTTTTTTACATTAGCTTTGTAAGTTACAAGAAGTAGTTTTCTTACAGCAAGACAAAACACAGAGTACTTATATAATGATAGGGCAACTAATACACTGTGATCCTGTAGCTATAGTAAACTGGGCGAAGCAGAAGTCAGAATACCTCTTTATTACATCAGAACAATATTACAAAAAAAAAATAATAATAATCTGAGGCTCCGCACCAACTGGTAAGGAAACTACTCGAAGTCAATACCTTGCATAGCACAACGAGGTCCCAATACACTTCTGTGGTCTCTCATTATCCAAAATTAAAAAGCCAAAAACTCTACAAAACTGGCCTAAGTTCCAGAGCAAGCACAGAAAAGTATATTATATATCAGTGAATTCAAATTAGTTGTCCAGAAATCCTTGTAGCAGCTCATTTAATATTTCTAAATGTTCAATGTACTATAGACGTTCAAAAAAAGAAAAAGAAAAAGTAAAGTACTGAAAGAAAGGTTTTGGCTATCATATTTTGGATAACTGCAGGTAGTGGGTGCACAACGAATTGTAAGATTTTTTAGGTGCATTATAGGATAAAGACATTAAGCTGGAGGTTCCTGATAAATTCCAAAATTAGTTTTCACTATCAGTGTTTTACTTCTGGTCATTTTAAGTCAGCAAATCTATCAGCTAATTGGGAAAGCCAGTTCATACTTCTTAGAGCAATGTTTCAAGTTGTTGGCAAACTCAGTAAAAAGTCACTGCATCCATCTGCAGTCAGTTCATTTTTGGAGTATTCCTTTGCAACAGTAAGGACAAGGATTTTGTTTAATGATAGTTTAAATCCTAAATAAATTCTGTGGAAAGGGGTGAATTTTTTCGTGTGACTTGTTACCAGAAGCACTGTACACAAGGGGTCCTGATTAAGATGCTATACAACTGAAAACTGCCATCTTAAAAACTGTGGCTTATTAATATAACTTCAAAAGTAACGCTATGATATGGTTTAAACTTATTTAAAAATAATATTGATGTGGAGAACAGTGAGAAATTCTGTAGCTTGGAACCATTTACAGAAAAAAACATTTTTGAAAACTTGACTAATCAACACACATCACATTCACCTTTTCCCCAAAAATCAGCCCTCCAGAACTGGGGTATGCATCATAAGCAGGAA